CCAGATATCAGCTCCCCATTTCTTCCCACTCCTTCCCCGGCTCACCCTCCCTCAGGAACCCTTGATAAGTTATAGATTATTTTCACATCTTACATCATCCTCTGTCACCCCTCACCCACTTTTCCACTATTCATCCCCCTGGGAGGGGGTTCTAGCTTGATCCCATCCTTCATGCTTTATGGTCCTACCTTGTGGTAGCTTCCTAACATTCCTCGTAGCCCTCAGAGCTGTGAGTACTGTCTGTGAGTTGTGTGTGGCCATTATGACGAATTCTCGAAACATGCAGAAGAGTGGCGTGCTGGGGGAGGACCGCTGATCTGTGCCCCGTGGCAGCCGGCCGTGGGCTGGTGTGGTGATGGGTTCTCCTCCTCCCTTGTGTAGCCAGAGAAGGTGAGAGGTGACCCCCATGGATTCACTCAAAGGAATGCTTCCAACTTCACTCTAAGACGTCAGCATAACCCTGGTACCCAAACCAGGCACCCACCACTAAAACAGAAAATTAAGGCCAATATCCCACAGGAGTATGATGCGAATTTTTTTTACACATCCTTCTCAGTAGAATCCAACAGTATATCGAATGAATCATACATCACAACCACATGAGTCTACCAGGTATGCAAAGTTGGTCCGACATTAGAAAAACAATCAATGGAATCCACTTAAATAAAACAAAGGAAAAGCACTATATGATCGCATCAAGCAATGCAGAAAAGATGTTTGCCAAAAGCCAACACCAATTTCTGACCAAACTGCTTTAACAAAATAGGAATAAAAAGGAAATCCCTGCATGTAACTAAGGGCATATACGCAATGCCAATGGTCAGCATGAGTCTCCCTGGAGAGAGACCACAAGTCTTCCCCTGGTGAAGAGGCACAAGACAAGGAGGTCCTTTGTCACCACTCTCACTAAGTATAGACCCGGAAGCCTCAGCCAGAGCCGGAGGCAAGAAAGGTTGACTGAAGCACGCACACTGGCAAGGAAGCACTCACACTCTATGTGCAGATGATATGACCCTGTACATAGAAAATCCCAAAGACCCGGTCAGAAAATGGTTGGAAAGTCACAGGGCACAAAATCAACAGACTAAAACCAGTGGGATCCTGTGGTAGTTACATAATCTGTCGTCAATTTGAGAGGATTAAGAGTGAAGGGGTGGGGTTTAGCCTGTCAATCAGGTTGCAGCTTGATGACCTCATTTGGAGGTGCTAAGGAGACAGACAGCTCACTGGAGGCAGAGCACACACTGACTCCTTGGGAGACATTGCAGCTGACAAGACACATGGAGCTACACTAGTGCCCTGAACTGGAGGAGACCCCTGTCAGCGCTGAGATGCTTACAGTGCCACTGGATCCACAAGACTTCCCACCCACTGGCCTGTGATCGTCCTGCATTTGGCGTCATGTGAGTCTGAAGAGGACTTTATAGATTGGTATGGGACATATGGGCTAATATTGGACTTAGGGACTTGATCTGGACTGGGCTGGGATGTTTTCTCAATAGTCAACTGCTCTTGTATAGAAAGCTTTTTCTTATGACCATATGAGTCTCCCTGGATTTGTTTCTCTAGTCTACCTGGAATAAGAGAGTTCCCTTTACATTAATAAATAACACTCTGAATAGGAGATCAGGAAAACAAACTATGCACAATAGATACCCCAAATATTAAATAAATCAAACCAAACTCACTGCCATGGAGTTGATTCTGACTCCGAGATCCTGCAGGACAGGGCAGAGCGGCTCCTGGGGTTTCCGAGGCTGCAACTCCCTACAGGAGTAGAAAGCCTTGTCTTTCTCTCAGCATGGCTGGTGGTTACAAACTGATCTTGCTGTTAACAGCCTAGCATGTAAACACGAAGGCACCGCCTGATACATAAGACGCCTACACACTGAAACCTGGAAAACACCACTACAAGAAACCATAAGAGACCTGCATAAGGAGAAGACTATACCATCCTCACAGAGAGGAAGGCTCAATACTGAGAAAAATGTCAATAGTCACCAAGGTGATCTAGAAATATCATGCAATCCAGATACAGAGTCAAACATCATTCTTTACAGAGACAGAAAAACTAATCGCTAATTTTATATGAAAAAGAAAGAGACCCCAGATAAGCGAAACTCAAACCCATTGCTACTAAGCTGATGCAGACCGGTAGTGACCCTATAGGACAGGGTAGAACTGCCCACGAGTTTCTGAAGCTGTAGCTCTTTACAGGAGTAGGCAGCCCCATCTTTCTTCCAAGGAGTGGCTAGTGGTTTTGAATAGCTAACCTGTAGTTAGCAATCAACATGTACCCACTCCGCCACCAGGGCACCAATAAAGAAAAGGAACAAAGTAGGAGGCCTCTCGCTCCCCAATCTCAAAATCTACTTACGGGTTAATACTGACAATGATACACACACCACATGGAACAGCAATGAGAACCCAGAGATAAATCCACCCACTTACGGTCAGCTGATCTTTGACAAAGAACCAAAGCACCTTAAGTGGGGGAGAGACAGTCTCTTTAACAAACGGTGTGAGCAAAATGGGATCTCTGTTTGCAGAAGAAAGCAGCAGGACCTACACCTGGCACCATATCCAAAATGAACTCAAGATGAATCCAAGAGCTACAGGGAAAACCTACAATTACAAAGATCAGTGAAAAATAGGGGCAAACTCAGGGGCCCTCACGCATGACTCCACACACACTAGCGAACATCACTAAAACACGTGAAACCAGAGGACTGGGATCCCCCAAACATTAGGCTCCTGTGCATCAAAAGATTTCACCAAGAGACAACAGAGAGAGCCAACAGACAACTAGATCCTCGCAAAACAGGTTTTAGGGGAAGCAATGTAGAGTGGGTGGGCTGCTGCGATGGGCTCGGAGTTGTACTTACGTGGAACTCGGTGGTGTTCAGAATGTGGCGACCGTCCGGGCTCCAGCACGAAGCCACCAGTCCTGCTGAGCCCTCGTCTATCTTGCAGTGCCAATCTGGCTGTTCCAGGGACCACACCTGGATGCGCGCGAGAGAGCACAGGATGGCACACTAAGCGGGATACCTCTCCAGGTGTCAGCGCTGAGTTTTGAAGGCCTGAGTGGACACCAACTGTGTCCAGTCATAGTCCCAACTCAGGGAATCTGTGGAAGTGTTTTGCTGTGAAGGACATGGGGCCAGGTGCTACACAGCAGCCCGGTGAGTTCACTTTCTTGTGACTGCTCTGGTTTTACTCACTTTGCCATCGTGGGGACCTCACTGAGTTAAGCTTCGGGCCCACAGCAAAACTGGACGTCTTAACGGTTCCTAACACACACAATGCCCAAGTACCTAGACAGCCGTCCGTGAGCACTTCTGGTCACTGACAAAGAATGTCAGAGAGCTTCCTTGTTGAACAAGTACTCGAGCTATGAGGGATCTCGTCCCTTTTCAAAGACGCAGGCTTTGAATTTTGTTGTCCTTTTCTCTTTCATTGGAAGGACAGTGTGCAAAACCCTGCCCTCCTGGTGACATTCCTGGGCAGCCTAAGTTTAGCATTCCCACCAGGACAGGCAGCACTGACCTGCACCAGGCCCCGCTTGTACATGGCGCACAGGATAAAGAGGGAATCCGCCGACCACTCTATGTGCTGGATCTGGTCCAGGCATGTGTACAGCTGCAGGATCTGGAGGGTGCTCACCTCTCGGACCGCCAGACGGTACTGGACACACGAAGCCTAAGAAGGAAAACACAGCTCCACATGGTCTGTAATCTGTAGTGAGCTTCTGGGTGGGAAAACGCCCCTGGGTGCTGGAGCTGCCTCCTCCCCAACCTTCAGGCATGCTTTCTACCTACATATGTCTACTGAGGTCATTCATTCTAGAGAGAAGAGTTCATCAAGGTTGCATTGAAACCTGCAAACTAGGTTTAAAACATTTCTTAAGCTCTCTGCTTAATTTTCTAGAGCCCTCAGGCAGTGCAGTTACCCTTTCAGCTGCTAACCTCCCCTCTGGGGAGGGATGCTCAGACAAAGGCCTGGCAATCTACTTCCACAGAAAGTCACGATGGGGCTGCCCAAAGTCAGCATCACCTCAATGGGAACTGGAATAGCATTTCCACTCCCTTCTTAATTACAGGTCAAAAATAGAACTCCAGGAGAAAACAGTTCAGGGTAAAAGAGCTACTTGTACCCTAATCACCAACTCTTCTTTAGTTTTGTCTATTTTAGACCATTGCCCAGAATTTATAAAGGGCTAGAATCGAGGCCTCGGGGTTACCGATTAGGACGACAAATGCCCTTTGGTGTGTCTTAACTCAGAACCAAAGCAATCGGAGGTCCACATTTGCTAGTAACGCCCAGAGCTAAACAAATACTCTTAATGTCTGTAGACACCTTATCTCCGAATGCAATCGTTCCCACAAGAGGAGGAAAGGGACCCAGAGGGCGGCAGCCTGGGATAAAGATCCGCCACCAGACCTGTTTTGTTCGTACTGGAGGACTCTGCGGTTGTGGTGAGCTACCTCTACCTTCCTTATGTTTGTTTTAAAAAACCAACACCTGCAAAACAAGCCGCTGCAGATTTTAAAAGATGGCACCAAGGGCTTTATGTAGCAACAAGGCCACGGCTTTAAAGAACAGCATTCAGACATCAGGCTACTATCATCTTCCTCACTGTATTGTCATCGGGGTGTAAGAGCCAAAGGGGGTCCCAGAGCAGGCCTGCACACATCATCTTTCTCTCCGTAATTTACTAGAAGTTTCATAAATGGCATAAACCAAAACAAAACCGACCAATTTACAGGTGGGCACCTCAAGAAACACACAAAAGGTTGTGAGATGCCGCTGTAAGCTACTGACATTGTCTACTTTGTAACGGAATGATGCTATTTTATGGGATTTACCACACCTCTTAACAAGGAAGGTACAAATGTAACTTGAGGGTTACATACAGAACTCGTAACTCAGGCTCCACCAGAAAAAAGGTGTTCTAAGCCAGCGGTCTGACAGGCAGGGCTGGCCAGTTGGCTTTTCCAATGCCACTTAAACTCCCTTCTCTGCTCCTCGCTGAGCGTATGCATATGATCATAATGATCTATTTCCACACTTAAGGTTTGCATTCAAAACAGCTTCAGTGACTTAAGCACCATTCTAACAGCCCCCACCACCGTTTGCGTCTGGAGAGAGAAGCCAATTGGCATGGTTGTTGTTCGGTGCCGTCTAAGATTCTAACTAACAGCCACGGTGTTTCAGGGCACAAGAGCTGCACAGGCCTTTCTAGGCTGTCGGGGAAACAGATCGCCAGGCCTTTCTCCCGCAGTGCCCCTCGCTGTGTTCCCAAGGCCGATCTTTTGGCTCCGGGGCTAGACGGCCAGCAGCACCCCTTAGGAGCCTACAAGCTAGGGGAATCCGCCGTTTGATTTTCCAGGACAAGAGAACGACTAGGTGTCGCTGCGCCACCGGCTACACGGGCGCTCCTTCACTTAAAGCCCCGCGAAGCCCCCCTGGAGGCAGGCACTGCTTCTACCGCCGTCCCCAAGCGGGCGCCCGGCCCGATCCGTATCGGGATTCCGGAACCCTCCACCCCGGGGGCGGACGCCGCGCCAGCGCGCCGCTCCGAGCCTGTGCGGGGCGCCCGCCAGCGCACCCCAGCACCCCTGGGCCCGCATTCTGCGCGCCCCGGCTGGGCCCACGGGCAGGGCTCCTGGCTCTCACCAGGTACTTCCCGTCCGGGGAGAACTTGCTGAGCAGGCCGGACAGCTTGAAGACCTCGGAGAAGTTCATGGCAGCCGCCGCCCCGGGGACCGGGTCCCCCTGCAGCAGCCCCCGGCCACGGGACGGGCTTCTCCGGAGGGCGACCGGCGGGCCGACGCCGTGCCCGGGCCGGCCCCGCGCCCTGCAAGCCCGCCGGTCCGCCCTGGTCTCGCTCAGGAGCTCGGGGTCGGTTCTGCGCCGCCAAGTCCACCTGGGCCGTCCCTAACCGCCACTCGCCGGACCCCACAGCCGGAAACCCGGGGAAGGCGGGAAGAGAGCGCAGCTTATCAGAGCCCCTGGTTGCCGCGAGGCATTGTGGGTCTTGTAGTTCGCGGCCTGGCCGAGCCTTAAAGGAGCCTTCCCTCATTTCTCCCCATCCGGACTTCCTGAGACTTACCCCGAGACCTCCTCCTGGGGCGCGGTGGGGGTGGGGCTCCGGTTGAGTAGGTCAACTAACGCGTAGGACGCCCAGTTCGATTTGAATTTTAGATAGACAACAAGTAATTTCATAGTATGTCTGCCTGACCCGCAGGAGAAAAACGAATTGCAGTCTCAGAAACCCACAGGGGCAATTCTACCCTGTCCTATGAGTCGTCATCGAGTCACTGGATGGCAGTGAGTGTGGTTTTGCATACATCCCGGACCCTCCTGCCATAAGTAGATTCTGACTCACAGCGACCCTACGCAGGGTTTCTGAGGTTGTAAGTCTTCACCGGACTACGCGGCCTCCTCTTTCCCCCTTCCGAGCGACTGTGGACCCTGCAGTGAGCAGCCTGGTGCATCGCCAGCTCCACCACATATTTTTTAGTATAAGCACACTCACACATTGCAATGAAAAATATTCGTTTGTCTGAAATTCAAATTTAACTGGCCATCCTACAGATAGGTGTGTGTGAGAGTATGCGTGAACTCGTTAGGCTTTATTCTAAATCAAAGAGACGCCGCAGGACGGAGTAGAAGTGCCCTGTAACCTTTCCAGGGATGGATGGATCTGGATGGCATAGTGGTTATGTGTTGGGCTGCAACCCACAAGGTCAGGAATTCGAAACCACAGGAGAGAGAGTCTCTGAAACGCACAGGGACAGTTCTAC